ATTCCCTGGCCACACAAAACTTTCTGGAGTTCGTTTTCATAGCTGACCAGAAAAGAGGCCTACAAGGATTTCACAGAAGGTTGTGGTAGTTCCTACAGGTGATGAAACCTCTGTTTATAGCAGAACAATCTCCCTGATTACTTTTTTCTTAGAAGGCCGGGGTAGCTCCTTCCTGCAGGAAAAGGTCAGTTCATAAACTGAAAATGCTGATAATAACTGTAGACACATTTATATAGTCCTGAGAAGCTGTTGTTATGCGTGCAACCAAATTAATAACTGCAGACACCTGTCAAAACAGTGATTACATATCAAGAATGACACGAGATAAAAAAGATGTTTGAAACTTCCTTCAAGTATTAGTTTTGGAGTCCTGAGACTTCCAAGGCCAGTTGGAGAAGACTCTTGGTACATGCATGCATAATACTACATGCCTTTAGATTCACAGATGCACAATTTTTTTCCCTTGTTAATGAAGCAAATTTTTTGCTTGACAAATGGGAAATGTTGCCACCTGTGAAAAGATTAAACAGGGATTTTGAGTGGACTCTTTGTCTGTGACTGAGTTTTTTAGAAATCCTGGCTGTGGGCCAGCTCTCAAGAGGAATATTCTTTATGTTTGTTTTTTCCTATGACTGAGATTGGATCCTTAGATAATTTTGACAATGCCACAACAAATTGTTTTACGGAGGGAACATACTCATATTTCCTGTGTCTCCAGAGTCACTGGAGCACAAGTCTGTGATTCTCGTTATGTGAACAAGATGTTCTTAATGTCGACACTGCCTTTTCTTTCCAGTACGCTTGCAAGTGTTAAGCGTAACACATGGAATTCTTTCTACTTTACTTATTATGGGTAAATTTGTATTTTTCTTTAAAATGTCTAATCTCATGTAGCTCAGACTCTGTTCAAGCAAAGACAGATAAAGAGTTGAATCAATATCCTAGGCTTAGTTTAGATAATATATAATAACACCCATATTATTTTTTACAATAACATTGTTGGAGAATGAAAGATTTGTCCCTTGGTTGGCACATGTTCTTGAAAAAGAATATGAGGTGCTTATTGCAGTTGGTCAAGATGCTGATCTATCCTTTGCTGGTGGAAGGAGTGCAGCTCTGCTGGAGTTCGAGAGCCATGTTTTCCTGCAGCACCTGAGCATCTGCACAATTACTGTGCCTCTTGGATCTGAAAAGGATTTTCTAACACTGTTGTTGCTGCTGTGATCCTAGTTCTGGTCTTTTATTCTTAGCTTTCCCATATTCATGTTCTTATTCTTGGTGTTTCCACTTCCTTATGTTTCAGTGCTTTCCTGACAGACGTACATTAATTTTGCTACACACATTTTTAATTATTTGAGCTTTAAGTGGTAATGAGGTTTTCAGCAAGACCTTAACTTTCATACATGAACCTAAACCAATGACACAGAAATGTCTGATTATGAGATTATTATTCCAGTGTTTCATAAAAGTCAGAGAAAATAAGTGGTGCTCAATACTGTAAAGTTGAAATTCCTATTACAGATGGTATGGATAGGAGATAGTTTGATATTTTGTGCAGCAGCAGCTTTCTTACTGTCTAGTATATGTAGGCCACTAAGGCAGAAAGCAAACGTGGAGCAGCAGCAACAGCAAGGACTGTGCAAAGGGTGGGGATTTCACATAAGGGACCGGAGAGAAAATAAGGAATGGCATGGGAGAATTTGTCATCTCACCAGAAGAGGCAGCCTAGTGCAGCAGAACCTCATCTCTTGTGTGGTCCAACATGGTCTGAAGCCTGCTGGTCACACACGCCCTTGTCACGTAGCTGGAGGTGCCAGTCTCACACGTGGCAATTGCCAGAGGTCGTCACTGAGACATGGACCGTGCGCACAGGGAGCAGGAGCTGTTCTTAAGGGTCTGTGAGTGAAGTTTTGGTAAAAGACTTAGTCTATGTTCAAACAAATCACTATTCTTCACTTTTTTGCTCCCTGGGCACCTAATGAGAGCACGCGACCTGTAATTCATACTTTGCCAAGAATTTCGGGCATCTGGGGAGGTTAGTGTAAGTATTACAACAACTTGGGGAGGATTAATTGAGGATGCACGCCATTTTGTGATGTGTTAGGTGCTCATTAAATGCTCCTTACTGTTTAGTCACATTTTATTACAACTTACATATGTTTGGAACACTGATAGAAAAGCATGTCATCTATTTACAATCACTACACATTTACATTATATTATTTACAGATAATGAATTTAGTAATATATATGCGCAGAAAATATAGCAAATATCAATATGAAACTGTACAGGGCTTAATCTCATGTCCTTTACTGTGGTTGCATTTCACTATAATAATAAATACAGTTCTATATTTACACATTTTACTTTAAAAATCTATTAAATGAATTTTAACAATTTCAAGTTTAAAATATCTGATCAAAATATCTCAAATATGCTTATAAAAATAAGACACAAAGCCTTTAGGACTTTCTGCAAGCTAAAAAAGTTCTGATAAAAGAAGCTTTCTTTAACTGGTCTTTAGAATTATAACATTATTTTGCTCCTCAAATCACATTGCAAAGTTCTTAAATATAGCGAGCTGAAAGGAATTTCACTGACAGCAAGCAGTGCAGCACAGATGGACCCCAGTTAAATTAAAGCTAAGTAAACATGGTAATAGGTATTGTGCAATGATTGGCTGATCCTCTGTTTAACCCAAAGTGGCATCGTTTTCCAGCTGTATGCTGCACTGCTTCAAAAGCCACAACAGATAAAGGATTAAGATAAGTACTCAGTTGACTTTATCATACATAATTTCGGCATTGGTTCATTTTTTTTTCTGAAGGATGAACATGTCAGCCAAAGTCAATCGATGCCATCTGTAACTGCAGAACTAAAAATATGCCAGTGTGAACGGACAAGAAAATCAAGGCATATCCATTGTTGGCAACAAATTCCTCATTGTGAAAATCTGTCCTTTGAGTCCCAGGAAGTTTTATATGCAGTAACAGATGAACAACAGAGATCATCTGTAACTGATTATCTTAATTACTGGGCTAGCCTAACCTTGGTGATGTTAAAAAATTAGTTTCATTCAGCTGGAGGCTGAGTGGCCATTAACTGAGCAGTGAGTACTGGGCTATTAAATGTTACTCCTCAGGGAGCTATTTTTAACAACAACAAAAAAGTAAATTTGTGCACTTTTGTGTCTTAAATGATCAGCCTACTTGAGCAAAAGGTGCCAGCTCTGTGAAAAGAATACTGGAATAGCCCCTGATGGCTTGGCCAAGGTCAAAGACTTATAATCCAGGGAAGTGAAGGCAGCTCTATTGTCTCAGATATTTTGACAGTAGACTTGGCAAAGACCTGAAGTCTCTTCCCTCTAACTGGGATGCTTCTGATGTGTAAACATACATGCCTTGATTCGGCAAAGTATTAACAAATTTAAAGCCAGAGAGGAACTCTGTGTTAATCTAATCTAACTTTTTCCTAAAGTAAAGCCAGCACAAGTCCCTGAATTCCAATAGCTGCTCCAATACCTTTTTTAGCAATATATCCGATTTGAATTTAGACATTTTTTGGTGACAGATAGTTCCACTAGCTAATGACCATCACTGTCAACAGTCTGCACCTTTATTTCTATGCTGCATATCCCTGATGTCAACTTCCAGTCGATCTTACCAGATTCTTCTCCTCTTGACAGTGGTCCTCTGCTCTCAAACTTCTTTTTCCCAGAAGTAGCTACTTATAAACCATGATCAAATGACTTCTTTCTTAAGCTGCTTTAAATTTATGATACTCATATCCTTTTCAATTTCTCAATCCTCTTTACAGCATGTAAGTGCAAGAACTGTCTGAAATATCCCAGCAGTGCTTCCATCAGCGTTAAGAACACGGATCATACAATCTCTTCACTCCTACTTGATATTGCCTTGACTGAAGATACTGGCTATCCTTAGCCAAAAGGAAACAGTGGCCTCTACGTCTTCAACTGACTAATGACCATGAACTAGAGGCTTTCTAGAATCACTGTTTCACAGGACAAAGATCACGCCATGAGCAGGACTACAGTTTTTGATTCCAGACAAATGACCTTAAATGAGTGCTTTTATGTGAATGTCTCTGGTGTTCTTTAATTGTCCTCAGCATGACAGTCTTTTTGTATTGATGACTTTCTATGTAGTATTTTCCACCCTCAAATTCTATGCCATCTGCCAATTTTATCAGCAGTAATTCTACTGGCATGGTAGCTATTCAGGATCAAACTGTGCAGACCCTCACTAGAAAAATATCAAAAAATGTGACAATGGCTTGCCATTTACAGTCACATTTCAAGTGCTTAGCAGGATCCTGATTAACTTCTTTCACACCATGTTAATTTTGTAGGTTTAGCTGACAATTGAAAATGCTTTGTCAAGTCAAATGACTTCTAAAAACCAAATCCAATGCCAGTTAAACTATTAAATCCGCTTTATCAAGCATGGAACTTCATCAAAGTGTATTCTGCAGAAACTTTTAGAACTTCAACAGGACTACTCTTCCACTTAGATACCTTGCTGAGTAAGGGCCATACACAGATGCTTATAAAAACAATCATGGCACTGAAAAACTACTATGAAAACCAAATTGCAGTAAACAGGAAAAAAAAACACCATCTCCTGAAAACAAACTGTATCAGGTGATGCTTTGAAAAAAAAGCTTACCAATTTAATGTGATATTTTCACTCTTGACCAACTGATGCCCTTTCTGAGTAGTGCTACTTTAAAAGAGAGCAGCTGATACAACTGCACAAACTGCAGCAGCTTTCAGTTTCTCTCTTCATCTCAGCATTTCGGAAGCAGACTGAGAAGGCTCAAGTATTGGATTTTCAGCCTGCTGCAAGTTTTGTCATTGTCTGTTTTCTGATGTGTGCAACAATAATTCAGAGGCACTTTCTAGTTTGTATACACACACCTATACTTACTTTCAGGACTAAACAATTTGTAAACACAGATATTTTCTGTAGTGCCACTGAAACTAGCGACATGGAACAAATGCGACTGATGAAAGATTGCAGCTTTCTGTCATTTGATAAGATGATGGCATTAGTGAATTGCTGCTAGGCCTGTCATATGATATGCTGGCACTTGTGAAGGTTACCAATGCTTGTGTTGAGTCACAAGATTGTTTTTCTATGTCTTCTGAATTCACAGAGATCAGACTAGCATGTTTTGATCTCCTCCATAACAAAGTTTGCTTTCGCAGACTTCCCAAGTCCTCCTTAAAGTGTGGATTGAAAAGTATATAAAGGAGTGGGTTTAGACATGCAGGCAGTGGGACAATCACTAGCAGTATTGACTTAATCACTTCTGGGCTGATAAAAGTGAGGTTTAGTAAGGAGGAAAAAGATAAGAAGGCCACAGGGCAATAAAGAATGCAATTAGTAAAAAGTAGCAAGGCTATATGTTTGACCATAGAGCAATCCCAAATGTTGTCTAGTTCTCCCTTTTCTAAACTACAGTAGAGCTTTGTATAAGCAATAGTCATTACCAGAAAACACAGGGAGTTCAGCAATACCAGTGCTACCATGTAGCCCATAGCTGTGGGTTCTCCAAACGGTAGTGGTAAACAAAGTGGAGAAACTCCATACTCACTCCCAGTGAGGAATGGTATCACTGCAATGATTAGTGCCAACATAAAGCAAAAGAAAATGGCAATTTTTACACTAGCAATGGAGGACTTTGTTTCAAACTTTGTAGTGTGCTTTACAGAGAATGCACGTTCAAGTGCAGCCAGGGTAAGGAGGAAAATGGAAGCCTCTGAAGCAAAAATGGAGACAAGGCCAGTTACTTGGCAACCGATTCCACTTTCCCACCGTGCTCCATACTGAGCAAAGCTACCAAAAGTTGATGCATCCACGCTAGCCAGTACTCCGCTGGCCAGACCCATCAAGGCATTTACAATAGCTATTAAACTGATCAAAAGTTTTATGGAGGACATATACAATGGAGAACGGAAAACTGTAGCAGACACCAGGGCATTGCAAATAAAGGTCAAAACCACTATGGTCCACACTCCGATTCTGATCAGCCAGCTACCAAACAGATGGTCACATGGTTTGAAGGGACCTGAAATGACAAAATAAAAAGGGCATGTAGTTTACCCATGTAAACTGAAAAACAGCTGTGTGCTTTGAAGACATTAAACCTCATGCTGCTTGCAGGTTCTCAGCACAGTCAAGTAGTGAACTTCAGTCCAAGAGGGGAGCTGGAAATTTCCTCTTCCTTTGGAGTAATCCGAGACCTTGATAACATGCTGCTCCATATGCATGTTGCATTACTGGTACGCATGGGTCATTGTCCCTTAACTCAAATAGTCTATGGGTTTCTTTTGCCGAGCAGTACAAGTGCAAGGTGAATGTCCAGTCTGTAGTTTCAAGAAATGCTGTAATGTTTGTCAGTATGTGGAAAAAAAGCTGAAAAAGATACCTCTTACTAAACTAGGACAAGTTGCTAGTGAGTCCTGGTGAAGTGTGAGATAATGGTTATGGACAGATGCATTTTGGCTACCTTATAATGCAGTCCAAGAAAATTAAGGCTGCCCTTGCATTTCGAAGTGCTACCTTTTTGGTAGGGCTTCTGATGACCTGTGGCTGAAGTCGGGTCATTATGATTGAAGACTGCTGTGTATTCTTGTAGAACTGAGGTGCACATGCTGTGCGGTTGAAGCTGAATGCTCTGCAGTCTGAGAAACATTGATCTCGGTACGAGCCAGCTATGCTGTCTCAAAGCAAGTCCTTCACAGTGGTCTGCGTGCCATGAAGACACAAACCCCACAGATGTGCTCCATATGACTATAGCCGTTGCCATCAAGTAGGCGTAAGCATCTACTGTGTCAGTTTGCAAATTTTTTTAAGATACCATTTCAATGATCAACACAGAAGCTAACTTTTCTTTTGGGTCTGGTGATAACTTACCTTGAAGATAGCAATGTTTTTGTGAACTCAGTAGTTATATTTAGGCCATAGGAGAATATGTGATGGTCAAATGATTCTAAATTCTTTGGCTTCCATTTCTA